ATACTGCTGATGTCACCACCTGCGAACATTGCAAATTGGTGTGTATTTAACACTTTAAATGACACTATGATTCTGTGAACGTATCTTCTAGTTCGTAGAATGTGTTAATGGTTATCATTTAGTAGTAGTTTTTCAAACGAAATCTCGATAAATGTTTGCTTATGTTAAGATGTTTCGATTATGAATGGATCTCCGTTGCAAAATAGGAAATCTGTCACTTTGAGGCCGAATTGATTTGTTTATTCCTTCTCAGGATAGAATTGTACCTAATCTATAATAATTAATTCCAATCTAGATATCGTATTATTTATTTATTCAGCATTTATTTACTGTCTCACTTCTCTATTTATTTCAGAAATTCTGCAAACTATGCTGGTCTCAACATATGGAGGATATGCGGGTTCAGATAGGCTCCATCTTGAAGCAACTTGATTCTGCCGCTAATAGACTTGAACATAAGATTGAATATTACAAGGTACATAACTTTATTGACTAGTGCTATCGCAATAAACAATGTGTCATGAACTGCAATCATTATATCTAATATCAATAAAGATAAGATATTGGTAAAAAATAAAAAACTTAAATCGATATAATTTATGGTTACAATAGAGCCAGAAATAGCATCTTTTGGATGAATGTATTTGCTTGGACCAATACCACGACCACACAGAAGACAGGTGAAGTGGAATTAATCCCACGTATAGTATGATAAGTGTGTGTTGGCCTAATTTAAGTCTTTTGCCCCTTTCAACGTACAAGAAAAGGATGGGGAAGAAGTAGATTAGATGAGGGAGGGGACGCATAGATAGCGGAACTGTCCTCTTTCTGTACGTCTCCTTCTCTGTAGATTATTACTAGGAAACACATCTACCAATGTGGTTATCTAAGGACAAGTCAATACTATTTTGACGAATTTCCAGGATCGTTGCGAGCGTATCATGGAACAAATAAATATTGTAACTGAGGAAAAAATTAATGCAATACTTGAAGCTAAAGAGAATTTACTGCAAGTAGCTGGCGAGCTGACGAAGGCTGGAGACATGTCCGCACTCGCACTGCAATCCTCTTTGCAAGAAGCGAAGGAAGTCGCCACTAAGGCTATGACTGCTAACGAGCCAGTTGACGACAATGATAAGGTTAAAACATGATTATGTTAAACTAACTGTTCCGATTGTTACTCTGATAACGTAGCTTTTTATGGTGAAAGAATTTTTGACAGCCAAGTAGTTTTTGAGTTATTTCAATCCAAAAAAAAATTCAAATCTTTCCTGTTATTAATGGTATAGATAACTATAAAGACTTGGAATCTTGTAAATTCAGTTTTTTAAAGACCAAATCTTACAATCGATGTCATTAAATTGAAGATTTTTGAAGGATTTAAAAGTGAAAAACGATGAATATTCCAACAACAACCAGGTTTTACAAATGCTACTGCAATTCTTAAATCAGTTTAGTTGGTTTATTACAAAAATCTTCATAGACAAAAATGGAACGAGATTTTGTATTTGGCCCTAAAATAAATCGCTAGAGACAAATTGGTGAAAACTTAGAATTACCGAATTTTTAAGATTTTCGTCACCATGCTTATGATAAAAGTATCAAACTGTGCCTGGTTCACACTTGGTCAGTATAGTTAGACAGTAGTGCAGACCTGGATTGTATAGACTTACTGGCGCTACTTAATGATATGCCAGTTGAACGCCAGTACATTCTTTGAACTTTGAACCGGAGCCCCTAAATACCAGCTTCTTCCTTTCGACCGCGTGCAGCGACGTGCCACTCGAATCGTCAACGACCGGGGTCTCACCGATCGGCT